TATGAATTAATGGAAGAGAAGCACAAAAACTTGTAACCAGCTGATATACTTTTTTATAACATATACTTGTTGTGGGTTTTTTTTTGGTTTTTTTTTTCTCTGTCTTGTTTTTTGTTCTTTTTTGTTTTGATTTTTCCCCCCACTGTTGTGGGCATGTGTTGTTTATATAACAAAAAAAATATTAATAAAAAAGCAATGTGCTATTGGTATTGGAGCATTCAGAAGTAGCTGCAGAGATGTTAATGGCCAATTATATTAATAAGTACACAGAAGTCAAGGTTTTTTTTTGCAAGACTCTTGAGAAAAAGAGAACAAATATTAATAAACATTCAAAATAAAAAGCTCTTTGACTGTAAATAATAGTTTCATTACATGTAAATTTCTGAGACAGTATTTATTTCCTAGAGAGGAAGACTTGATACTTTTAAAAGAATATAACAGAAGACGAAATCTCTTAAAAATTGTAAGTTTAATAGCAAAGGCATTCCTCTCTTTTTTAAAGCAAACCAGTGTTTATTTAAATATGTCTGACATTATAACTCAGGCATGGCTTTACCATTTTTCCACTGGGAAGATAATTTAATCAAATCTTTCCATACTGTTATATAGAGGGATATAGACTGTTTAGGGATGAACAACAAGAGGATTTTTAAAAATTATTTTGCAGATAGGGAGAAAGCAGAAATATTTAACTCATTTTTTGCATCTGTCTTTATACAAAGGGATAAAACAGTCCAACCTATCAAAAACAGCACCACAAAAATCAGATTAGGAAGTTGAAATAGGGAGGAAAATGGTAAGTGAGCACCTGTCTACCCTAAACAAGTTCAAATCACCAGGACCAGATGGATTACACCCCAGGGTTCTGAAGGAACAGGATCTCAGAACCACTGAACTATATCTTTCAGAGATCCTGATGCACCGAGGAACTACCAGAGGACTGGAAAAGAGCTGATATGGTTCCCATCTTCCAAAAAGGGGGGAAAAAAGAAACTACAGACCTATCAGCCTGACCTCAATACCCAGAAAGATTTTTGAAAAGATAATCAAACAATGAATTAGCGAACACCTAGAAATAAACAAAATAATAGCCAAAAGCCAACATGGGTTTGTCAAAAACAGATTATGCCAGACTAATCTTATTGCATTCTTTGACAAAGTGACAAAATTAGTGGACTAGAGGAATGCCATCAATGTAGTTTACTTGGACTTCAGTAAGGCATTTGATAAGATAGACTATAACCTACTACTAGATAAAGTAGAAGAATGTGGGTTAGACAGTATCACCACCAGATGGATTTGTAACTGGCTGACCAACCACACTCAACATGTAGTTCTCAATGGAACTGCATCTTCATGGAGGGAATTATGCAGTGGAGTACTCCAAGGCTCTGTTTTAGGCCCAGTACTCTTCAACATCTTCATCAATGATTTGGATGAGGGAATAAATGGGAACTCATCAAATTTGCAGATGACACCAAGCTGGCAGGAATAGTCAACACTCCAAAAGATAGGCTTGAGATACAGAAGGATCTTGACAAACTTGAATATTGGGCACTATCTAATAAAATGAAATTCAATGATGAAAAGAATAAGGTTCTATATTTAGGCAACAAAAATAAAACGCACAGGTACAGTATAGTGGTACCTTGCTCAATAGTAGTAACTGTGAAAGGGATCTTGGAGTCCTAGTGGACAACCATTTAAATATGAGCCAGCAACTTACCTCCAGAAGTTGTGAATGCCCCAACACTGGAAGTCTTTAACATGATGTTGGATAGCCATTTGTCTGAAATGGTATAAGGTTTCCTGCCTAGGCAGGGGGTTGAAGACCTCCAAAGCCCCTTCCAACTCTGGTATTGTATTATATTATATTGATATTGATATTTGGACCTCAGAGAGTAGATTTAAAGGAATTGTGAATCAAAATACAATTTAGTGAGATTTCTATGTGCACAATATGGAATGAATGAATTAGATAAGTAATGTTTTTGATTCTTAAAACAATTCAAATTTGCAAAAATTTAGACCAAATATTAATGCATGTAAAATAATTTTGAAGAAAAATTAATTAAGTGGGAGAACTGATAACCAACAGGTAAATCAGCATCACTAAAGTCATTTTAAATCTCTCTTAATATGAATAAAATAATAGGTGGTAACATTTTTAAATGTATTTCTTAACTTTTGTTTTTAAACATTTGTAATTGTTGAACAATGGAATTTATTAATTTATTCTGCTAATTTGTGATTGTGTTTGTTTTGAAATATTTTACAATGGGATAATCAAGCATTAATAGCACCTAATGAATATCAAGCTAAAAGTTCTGTTGTAAACAAAGTTCCATTATGTTTAATTATATGCTATAAAATACATGTTTAGGAATCTAGAGTTTATATCCTAGTTTAAAAGTTTATTCTACTATTTTCTTCATTCCCTGCTAGGGTTACCAGGAAAATAAATATATGTTTTTCACATAAACACACACATATAAACACACACACACACACACACACACACACACACACAAAATGTGGCATTTTCTGCTATTAAAATTTCCAATTCAAGACCTAGCATTTTTACATTTATTTGCTAGATTTCAACTGCCTTTCTTCTAAAAGCACAAAGCACATACAAAGCATATTGTTCAATTTTCCAACACTACCACAATAAGTAGTGACAGAGCATGACTGATTTAAATATTTCCAGTAATCTTCCATGGTTGAAAATGGAGCAGAATTTTCCTAATCTGAACTCTTCCTTTTGATCAGTAAATGAAGTACCAGAGTTGGAAAGAAGAAAGAAGGAAATATGTGAGGTTGGTGATTGGTTTTTGAGCAAAGATGAATAGAAAATGGTTGAGTATGATCTAACATGCCCATGCTAGAATTACTTTTTCCATGATGTGATCTTCTGTTTACTCTCTATATATTTTATTGTTGCCAAACTTTGCCTAATTGCATTTCTCTCCTTTGCTTCCTTGAAGTTATATCTTGTAGTTTTAGCATGGATAACCAGACCACAATGACTTACTTTTTCCTCCTGGAATTCTCAAAAAATTGGCATTTTGTTTTTTGTGTTGTATTTAGCAACTCTAACAACAAACCTTCTCATCATAACTGCAGTAGTTTCTGACCATCAATTGCACAAACCCGTGTATTTCTTTCTGATGAATTTGGCATTGAAGTACCTAGGCTCTGTTTCTGCTATTGTCCATGGTGAATTACTTCCTAGACACCAGACACATTTCTTAGTTTGGTTGTGTTGCTCAAGTCTTTCTTTTTGCATCTTTTACAGCTACTGATTTCTTCCTCCTGACAGTTATGGGATATGATCACTATGTTGCAATTTGTAACCCACTCCAATATGAGACACTGATTAATTTAAAACCTGCATTGAAATTGTGAGTCTGGTTTGGATTGCCAGTTTTCTCTATGGCATGTTGCACATCACTGGCACATTTTCCATCCATTTGGGTTCTAATATTGTAAACCAGTTTTCCTTTGAAATTCCACAATTGCTAAATTATCCTGCTCTGGATTCAATCTAGTTGAAATTAGAGTTCTTTTGGACAGAAATGTAAAAAAACTGCATTATTTTTTATAGGATGTATTCAATTTTATGTTTATTTTAACTAAATATTAAAGCTTTGTACATTTTATTTCATTTTAACTACCTTCTGCTCCTTTGCAGATATGATATTCTTCTGGTCTGGTCATACAAGAAAAATGGATAATGTGACCACAGTACCTTCTTATTTTCTGCTCCTGGAATTTTCAAAAACTCGACAGCTGCAACTTCTACACTTCTTCTCATTTTTAGTATTCTACTTTGCAACAATAATAGGAAACCTTCTAATCATTTTTGCAATAACTTTTGATTATCAACTGCACACACCCATGTACTTTTTTCTGATGAATTTGGCTGTGCAAGATCTGGGATTGATTTCTGTTATTGTTCCAAAATCCATGATAAATTCCCTCAAGGATACCAGGTGCATCTCTTACTTTGGTTGTGTTGCTCAAGTCTTCCTCTTTGTCTCATTTGTAGCTTCTGATTTCTTTCTTCTCACAGCAATGGCATATGATCGGTATGTTGCCATTTGCCAACCACTGCATTATGAGATGGTGATGAATTGGAAAACCTGCACTGAAATAATGATTCTGGTTTGGGTCTCTAGTCTTCTCTATGGAATGCTGCATACCAGTGGCACCTTTTCAGTCCATTATTGTTCTAATATTGTTAACCAGTTTTTCTGTGAAATTCCATATTTACTAAATCTATCTTGCTCTGGCTTTAATCTAGTTGAAGTTGGAATACTTGTGGCAAGTGCCTTTGGTGGGTTAGGTTGCTTTATTTTTATCATTGTAAGTTATGTCATTATCTTCAAAACAGTGTGGAAAATCCCATCTGTACAGGGAAGGCAAAAGGCCTTTTCTACTTGTGCTCCCCACCTTATAGTTGTTTCTATGTTTACAATAACTGTGATCTTTGCCTATCTGAGGCCTGCCTCAAATTCCACATCTTACTTAGATTTAATGTTAACTGTCTTATATTCCATTCTTCCACCTCTGTTCAACCCAATCATTTATAGTATGAGAAATAAGAAAATTCTCTCTAAGCTAGGGAAATTTGAAAATTTCTTTCATTTACGCTTTCCTTTATGTGTGATATAATTGTACCTTTATCTTTTACTCTCATGTTCCTGCTATAAGGAAGACATTGCAAAAAGAGATCAAGCTGAAATAGAGGCTAAATCTTTTGTAACTGAACGTTTCTGAGCCAACCTCTTGGATCCTTAATCATTGGCCTTCTTGTAAGCATTTGGAGCTGTATTTAAAGGCATCTGAGGCCCCCAATGTCTCTTGTGTTTGACATTAGGAAAGCACTATTAGATGAAATTAAGAGTATTCCCACACTCTTAAAAAGTGTTATGAATAGGATTTCTATTTGGAGATAATGTTAAATTTTGGCTTGGTAACACAGAGCTGGTCTTTCATATAGACTACACTTGTGCAAAATGTTTGCATATAGATATACTTTCCTAGAGGCAAAGCACAGGTTTTATTTGTGCAAAATAGTTGCATGTAGCAATATTCTCATGAACAAGGGTGTCAATTTTGGTAAAAAATCCTTAACAATTTTTGAACATAAATTGCATTGTACACAAAATTGTAAAGAATAAATTGTAAATTTAAATGTAAAAAGATTGTAATACATTGTAAACATCCTATTTTAACATATAAATTATTTCTTCTAAAGATTCACTCCAACAGGATCTATTTCTCCTCTGATATGGTTTATGTTAACAATGTTAACTAACAAATCTTTCCGCAGTCAAGATCAGTTACTTAGGAGTTTATTTCCCTTTCTTTCTGAAACATCTGTTATGAAATTATCACACTCGTATTTGTGAACTTTTTATAGCTTTTACTTATATCATAAAGAAACAAGAACAGTGTCACAGAGATCCAAGCAACTATTATATGACATACATCCTGTCAGGGTTCCAAATAGCATCCAAAAGTAAATCAGAGTCCAAGGCTAAGTATTGCTCAAAGTTCCAATTTATTAAGAGAGCCATGTTGGCACATCTTGGAAAATCCAAATGTGAAAGCTTCCTGGTTTTGCCCACCCATTTGAAAGTTAAAGATCTTGCCTCCACGCCCACAAGTCCATCACATAGTCCAATCTTTCACTGCAATGTTGGCAGTTTCACCCATCCAGTTCCAGTCAGGTCCAGAGGTGCAAAGGCAAAGGATGACCTTGGCTTTCTAAAAGAATTTGGTATGGCTACATAGCATCCCATTCCTACAATATCCCCTCCAATTTTCCCACAATAGAAAATGAATAGTAGAATAATAGAAAGTATGGCAAGTCAAAGATCCAAAGGAAAAGATGACTGCAGGCCTGACACATTCCATGCACAATCGGAAGATTCTCCTAGACCAGGGGTCCTCAACTCCTGGCTGCAGATTGGCACTAGTCTTCAGCTCTCCAGGAACCAAGCCACAGAAGCAAGTGAAGCTTCATCCACACACACATGGTATACAGGCAGTGTACAAAATGACACATCCCTGGTCCATGGATGAACTGCCCAAAACTTTGGGGGCCACTGTCCTAGTCCCATGACTATTTCTCAAAGACCTGGCTAAGAGAATCTTTGTGCAAATTCATATTGTATACTAGTGGTGGGTTTCAAATTTTTAGAACCTCTTCTGTAGGTGTGGCCTGCTTTATGGCAGTGGCTTGCCAGCCATGTGACTGGGTGGGAGTAGCTTGGCAGTCATGTGACTGGATGGGAATGGCTTGGCAGCCATATAACCAGTGGAAGTGGCTTGGCAGTCATGTGACCATGTGGGAGTCACTTGGCAATCATGTGACAGGGTGGGAGTGCCAAGACGATGTCAGCGTTCTCAGTCAAGATAGAGGTATAAATTACACAAAAGAAAGAGGCATCAATACATCTGAATTTAACTTCAAAGCAGTGACAACAACTTAAATTCATTAAATAATAATGTTTGTTAGGCCTATGCACTATTTTTGAATATATAGGAATGTAAAGCCCACAGCATCTACTGGGTACATTTTAAAGTAGCAGCACCTTTTTCCTGAATTCATGAAATATCTACTTTAAAGAGTTGTGGGTAGGTACTATATTTACAGTCTTGTATTCTCTTCAGTACTTTGTTTGGAACAGAATCCAAAGTTCTCCAAACTACTCAACATTTCCGCTACCGGTTCTCCATAACCTGTCAGAACCTGCTGGATT